AGCCGGGGAGGCCGGGATGCGGGGGGACCGCGGGAGGGGACCCCTCCTAGCCCCAGCGCTGGGGGTGACGTTGGTTTGAGGAGGGGAGACGATCGATCGGCGCAGGAGGCGCAGTGCCGAGGGGAAGCAGGGCAGAGTCGCCCCCTCCCACGGCAGCACGGGGTCTCTGACAGTCGCTCCCATTTGTTGCAGAGGCTTCGAGGGGCTCCCGTTTGGAGACCAGCTATTTCTGCTCTCCCGTCCCAGAGCCCGTGAAATAAGAATGTCGTCTGATTCGAGCAAGAAGAGGAAACCCAAGGTCATCCGCACTGACGGGGCCCCCCAGGAGAGCAAGCGGGGCAGGGTGGACCCTGATCAGGTGGGCTAATGATTGTCAGCCTGTGGCAATCCTGCGGCGGATCAGATGCTGTCGGGCTGGCAGGAGTGCAGAGGCGAAGCCGTCAGTGCTTTGTTTGGAAAGCTCGTGACATCACAAAAGCATCACCCTGTTCGTCCGCTCTGTTGTAAGGGCGAGCATCTCAAAAGCACCCGGGATTAGCTTTCCGCTGCTCGTACTCAAGTCAATGAGGTTATTACCATTGGCTTCAGTGAGCCAGATGCCAGGCCCGATCCCCAGCATCCCGAGCAAAGAAGGGTTATGACCCTGGGAACCAGAGTTGCATCTTATGCTCTCTGAGTGATTTTATCACTGTTGCAAGTTTGCACTGGCCCCCCAAAGCTCTCGGGGTGTTTTTAGAAGCCCTGAAAAGATTGAGGGGCAATGGGCGTAGGTGGAGCCTGTCTTTCATCTTGTCTGCTCATTGAAAGAACTTTGCTCGCTGCTCTTTTTCCTCTCCTGCTTGTCAGCCTAGTACCAATATGGGATGGGACCTGATGCTGGTCTCTGGGGACACTGTAGTGCTACTGTGAACCCACTAGACAAGCAGGCCCCTGGTGGAGTGAGGCGAGCAGGGGGTTTGTTGCAGTGTTAAGTGCCGCTCTGTATTTCTGCTCTTTGCAGGATGTGAAGTATTACAGTGAGGAGGCGGAGGTGGAACTCCGAGATCCCAGCAAAGACTATGAACTGTACAAGCAAACCTGCCAGGAGCTTCAGAGGCTCATGGCAGAAATCCAGGATCTGAAGAGCAAAGGCAGCAAAGACAGCGTAAGAAGGAGCTTTTCTCCCGAGCCCTTTCAAACACTTTCTGCTGCTGCGCGAAAGCAGTGGGTTTGAAAGCCACATGGCGTCCTCAAACGGGGAAGGGGTTTGTAATGGTCCCAGCAATAGCAATGAAACGTAAGGACTGAATAGCTCAGGAGAGCGGTGCGGGGACAGGAGACCTTCTCCCAGAGAGCGAATCCAGCCTAGGTTATTGGTTACCCCTGCCTGGCGCTTGCTTGGGGGCCTGGGAGC